AGAGGTCCAAATATGGCTTAAAAATCCCGTTCATCAAGCTCATGAACACAGCAGGGGCATTTGTAAGACCAAAAGACATCACTACAAATTCGTAATGCCCTTACCTAGTTCGAAAAGCAGTCTTTGGCACATCCGTTGTCCGTATTTTCAATTGATGATAACCATATCTCAAGTCAATCTTAGAGAAGACACAAGCACCTTGTAACTGATCGAACAAGTCATCAATGCGGGGAAGAGGATACTTGTTCTTTATGTTTACCTTGTTTAGTTGTCTGTAGTCTATACGCATTCGAAAACTCCCATCCTTCTTCTTTACAAACAAAAACCGGAGCACCCCAAGGGGATGCACTTGGTCTAATGAAGCCCTTGTTCAATAACTCTTGAAGTTATGCCTTTAACTCTCTTAACTCTGCAGGAGCCATTCTATAAGGGGGTATAGAAATGGGGCGTGTGCCCGGTTCAAGATCGATACAGAAGTCAATATCCCTATCTGGTGGCATACCAGGAAGATCTGCAGGGAACACATCCAAAAACTCGCGGACTACCGAAACCGACTCAATCGAAAGTACTTGGGTAGTGTCATCCTTGAGATGTTCCAAGAAAGCTAAAAACCCTTTACTAACCATTTTCTTAGCATGAAGAAAGGAGATTATACGCACCGGATTGGAAGTGTAGTCACCCTCCCACACTAACGGATCTGTCCCAGGCTTGGCTAACGTCACCATTTTAGCATTACAATCCAAGATCGCAAATTGTGGAGAAAGTCAAGTCATACCCAGAATTACATCAAAATCATCCATTTCTAAGATAACAAAATCTACATAAGTGTTGTTCCCCACAAAGTTCACCAAACAAGACCTATACACCTTTTCAACTACCACAGACTCACCCACCGGAGTAGAAACACGAATAGGCATATCAAGTAATTCACAATGTAAATTTAGACCATTAGCAGATGAGGAAGATACATAAGAAAATGTGGATCAAGGATCAAACAATACAGAAGTCATGCAATCACAAACCAGAAGATTACCTGTGATGACAGCATCAGATGCCTCCGCTTCAGACCGCCCAGGGAAAGCGTAACAATGGGCCCTATCGTTCGTCTGTTTGTTGCCCCTACCATGTTGTGATGTAGTGGCTCCAATTTTCCCATCACCTCGACCATTTTGGTGACCACCATTACCTCGACCACCACGTCCTTCAGAATAACGGCCTCTACCATGACCACTTCTACCTCTAGCAATTGGGGGTCTATAACTCTGTTTTGGACAATTCCTCCTAATATGTCCAGTCTCCCCACATCCATAACACTCTCTGGAGTCAAGCATAGGTCTCTCAGAGAAGTGTTGACCAGTCTGAGGTGGACCCCTAACTACAGTCTGTAGTGAAGACTGAATGGGTCGAACTGAGTAACCTCCGAAACCTTGTCCTCTAGAGTAAGAACCATTAAACTCACCTCCCTTTCGAAACCTTTTTGATGTCGATGTTATGATGAAGTCATCTGGCTTCACTCCTTCCACATCTATAACGAAGTCTACCACCTCTTGGAAGGATTTTGCCGTAGCCGCTACCTGTAAGGCTGAAATCCGCAACTCTGACCTCAACCCCTTCACAAAATGGCGAATCCGCTCTTGTGGACTGAAACATAGTTGGGTGGCATACCGGGATAGTGCACGAAACTTAGCCTCATATGCATTGACCGACATCCTACCTTGCTCTAGGCTCAAGAACTCATCCCTTTTCCTATCCCTCAAAGTTCGGGCGATATACTTCTCCATAAACAAGCTAGAGAATGAGGCCTAAGTCATAGGTGGTGCCTCTGTTGGTTGACACTCAATGTGTGACCGCCACCACATTTTGGCGTTCCCTTGAAACTGATAAGTCACAAACTCCACACCAAACCATTCTACTATATCCATCTTGTGTAGTAGCTTGTGACAGTCAACCAGAAAATCATAAGCATCCTCCGATTCAGCACCCTTGAAGACCGGAGGTTTCAATTTCAAGAACTTACTGAAAAGTTCATGCTGATCATTTGTCATTATAGGCCTAGTAGTCAGACGTGGAAATATGCCTATGTCCAATGAGGCATCCATACGAGTTGTTGTACTTCTGAAATCGGAGGTGTTGGTGCAGAAAACACTGGAAGTGCCTGATTTTGATCAGACAACCCACTGAGATAGGTGATAACCTGATTGATCATCTCTGGGGTAGGTTGGGGTGGCAATCCCTCATTCTGCACTTGTTCAGTTTCCCCATCCTCCCCTTCTCTTATTACTTCCTCAGTCGGTGGAGGAGTCACTTCCCTAGTATCAGATGGGCTAGGTGCTCGTCCTCTCCCCCTAGAGGACGTCCTCCCACGACCTCTACCACGGCCCCTTGCCGCTGTTCTCCCTCGAGCCACAGCCCCAGTGGCTGGCTCAGTTGTTTCTTGTCTGGCCGGTGTTGGTGTTGGCGTAGTCGTTGCTCTAGTTCTAACCATCTGCGAAGGAGAGTGAAGATGGTCAGATACCAATTCGTATCGCCTAGATACCAATTGGACTCAAGTAGTAGCACGAAAGAAAGAATGAAAGAGTGAAATTTTCCTAAAGTCTTATAGCCTCTCAAGGAAAAGTAAAGGCATCCCCTTACCGTTCCTTAAGACTCTACTAGACCTGTTCTTATGTGCTGAGACCAACGAACCTAATGCTCTGATACCAAGTTTGTCACGACCTAAATCCGGGCACGACTGGCACCCACACTTACCCTCCTATGTGAGCGAACCAACCAATCTAAACCTTAACATTTCAATATAATATCAACATAATGTAATGCGGAAGACTTAAACTCATTAATAAAATCAATAACTATTATTATCCCCAAAATTTGGAAGTCATCACCACAAGAACATCTACGATCAAATGACTAAACTAATAGTATTCTAAAAGCTAAAAATACATAAGAAACTAGTCCATGCCGGAAGTTGAAGGCATCAAGACTTGAAGAAGAAGATCCAGTCCAAGCTAGAAGCATTAGCTCACCCTGAATTTTCGATGTAGTAAGACTGGCTTGAATTACTGTTGAGTTGAAGACGATGGCACGTTTGCTGCACCCCACAAATAAACAAGAAGAGAACATAAAAGTAGGGGTCAGTACAAAACATGGGTACTGAGTAGATATCATCGGCCAACTCAAAATAGAAATCAATATATACCAAGTAATATCATAAAATCAACTATGATACTCAACATGTAGCAACAACAAATATTATATCATTAACAATTACCGTCAAGTTCACACATGAGGACTCAAGCCTCGATACCATACTCATTTGGAAATCATGTTCATTAGATTGAGTATAATAACATCTTTCAAGATTCATTATCTTTATTTCTCTTATGTCGGTACGTAACACTCTGCTCCCTCAATATTCATTAATCCTCTTGTGTCGGTACGTGACACTCCGATCCCCTAAATCTATGTGTCGATTCGTGACACCCGATCCCCTAAATCTAAGTGTCGGTTCGTGACACCCGATCCCCTAAATCTACATGTCGGTTCGTGACACCCGATCCCCTAATACTACGTGTCGGTTCGTGACACCCGATCCCCTTATACTACGTGTCGGTTCGTGACACCCGATCCCCTAATACTACGTGTCAGTTCGTGACACCCGATCCCCTAATACTACGTGTCAGTTCGTGACACCCGATCCCCTAATTCTACGTGTCAATTTGTGACACCCGATCCCCTAAATCTATGTGTCGGTTTGTGACACCCAATCCCCTAATACTACGTGTCGGTTCGTGACACCCGATCCCCTAATCTCCTTCCATCAATTCATCAAGCCTTCTTTCTTACCAAGGCATCATCAATCTCATTACTTTAGTTCATCAAGCCTTCTCCCTTACCAAGGCATCATCATTAAAAAGAGATTAGGTTTTTATCAAGATTTGGGATTCAATAACTTCATCATGCTTAATATAATCACAATTATATAATCACGTTCATGCATGCATACAATTAAGCACATAGCAGGGTTTACAATACTACCAATACATATCATTCTCTATTAAGAGTTTACTATGAAAGCATGAAAACCATAACCTACCTCCACCGAAGAATTGAGATCAACAAGTTATCTTCTCAAAATCCTTGTTATCCTCTTCGTTTCTCTCTCTCTCTACTTGTTCTTTTTCTTTTTCTTTTTTCTCTTTGTTCTTTCTATTTTTCTTATTAAAACCCTCTTTCTTTTACCCTAATTAACATATAATCAAGTGTAAAAGATGGCAATAATAACCAGCTAATTAACTTAAGGTTACCTCTTTTACCCCCCAAGTAATTGGACTTATTAACATTAAGCCACAAATCTTATAATTAAAGCAGGAATAGACAAAAACGTCCCTTAAAACGTATAAAGAAATCCGACCCAGACTGGGATTGTGCAACCTGTGACGGGCCGTCGTGCCTGCGACGGTCCGTCCTGCAGGTCGTCGCAAAGTTCAGAGACCCAAATTTCCATCAAGGGTCTGTGACGGTCTTTCACACCTGTGACGGTCCGTCCTGCCATTTCGTTACGAAATTCAGAGAGTTGATTTTCAGTACCCAATTTCAGATTTTCTAAGTGTTTTGAAACGAGACCCTGCGACGGTCCGTCGTGCCCATGACGGTCCGTCGTGCCCATGACGGTCCGTCGTGCCCATGACGGTCCGTCGTGCCCATGACGGTCCGTCGTGGGATCTGTCGCTTCTGCCAGTTTTTCCAGAAATAAAATATGCTGCTCAAAACGACTAAACAGGTCGTTACAATACAAAAAAGAGGTAAAAGTAGAATGGTCATAGATTATCGTAATCTAAATGCTAAAACCAAAACATACAATTATCCAAACCAAACAAAATACTAAAAATAAGACAAATACAAGGATATAATTATTTCAGTAAATTTGACTGCAAATCAGGATTTTACCACCTAAAACTAGAAGAAGAATCTAAACAATTAACAGCATTCACAGTACCGCAAGGTTTCTATGAATGGAATGTTTTACCTTTTGGATAGGCCGAATAAAGAGAGGCCATGTGTAAAGTATGTGTCGGCCACTTTTGGCCAAAAGTTTATAAATTTTGTGTATAAATTTATTCGGCCGACACAAGAAAACAAAATACTTACTATTACTACTTTATATAATTGGCCGACAAACTTTTTACATGATTGGCCAACAAACTATTTACTTTACGACTTTTATACAATTTGGCTTTTTATAGCCGACGCAACACGACAAAAATAAAATTATTTCTTTCTACATATGGCTGATATTCAGAAAGATGAGAGATGTAAGGATGAAGGTGTGTTTTATTTATGAGGAAAGCTCCTCTATTTATACACAAAATTTACAAACTTTTGGCCAAAAGTGGCCGACACATACTTTACACATGGCCTCTCTTTATTCGGCCGACACAAAAAAACAAAATACTTACTATTACTACTTTATATAATTGGCCGACAAATTTTTTACATGATTGGCCGACAAACTATTTACTTTACGACTTTTAAACGAACATTGTCATGGGTTTTATGGAGTTTCCCAACGTCTCCTTCTAGTTCTGGCTTTTTACCGTCTGCCGAACGACGTAGCTCCGCATTTTTAGAGTCATGCTGCTGACTTGTAGATTCTTCCTTTTCTTCTAGCTTTTGAATTCTCAATCCCATACTGTCCACTTTTGTACAAAGTGTAGTTAGGGTTTTGAGTATGTTTTCCATAACATTATCTTGTCCTGGCTGTGTAACTCTGTCTTGATAAATAGTCTGCAATCATATTTTTGTCAGTTTTTATTACCTCAATTGTAAATGTAAAATTTAGTATGTTTAATTCTAGTCTCCTTATTTCTTTTGTTGTAACTGAATCATCTAATTTTTTCGTTATCCACCATTTTACTTGTGTGTTATCTGTTCTTACAATAAATTTATTGTAAACAATATATGGTTCAAATGCTAATAAACATTTATATAATGCGAATAATTCTTTTCTATTTATTTCCCATTTTATTTGTGCTTCTGTATAAGATCCTGAATAATATCTACAATGGTGTTCTATTTTTTCTTTTTCATATTTGTATTTTAAAACTCCTCCATAACTATGATCACTTGAATCTGTTTCGACAATATAAGTAAATGTTTTATTTTCATCAGGAAAATATAGTTTTGGTAGTTTTTTACATAAATTCTTAATATTTCTTATATGTTTTTTATCTTTATCATCAAAATGATATTCTACATCTTTTTAAAGTTTTTTATGTAATGGTTTTAGATGTTCTGCTAATTTTGGTATATATTCTCTTACCTGATTTACTAATCCTAGAAAGGATTGTAATTTCTTTTTTGTATCTATATTTTCATCAATAGTAATTATTTTTTGTACTATATGTGTTTGCATTTTTATTCCATTTTTATCTATTTGTATTCCTAGAAATTCTATTTGTGATTTCATAATTTCTGCTTTTCTTTTACTCAAACTTATACCTGCATTTTTTACTATATGTATAAATTTTTCCAATAATCTTGTATGTTCATTTTTTGTTCTAGAATATAATAATATGTCATCTATATATACAATACAGTTTTCTAGCTGGTTAAAACAGTTATCCATAAAATATTGGAATCTACCTGGTGCATTTTTATATCAAAAAGGTAAAACATTCCATTCATAGAAACCTTGTGGTACTGTGAATGCTGTTAATTGTTTAGATTCTTCTTCTAGTTTTAGGTGGTAAAATCCTGATTTGCAGTCAAATTTACTGAAATAATTATATCCTTTTATTTGTCTTATTTTTAGTATTTTGTTTGGTATTGGATAAATGTATGTTTTTGTTTTAGCATTTAGATTACTATAATCTATGACCATTCTACTTTTACCTCTTTTTTGTTCACTATGTTTTATTACTATAAATGCTGGACTTGTATGTTTACTATTGCTTTTTTGTATGTAATTATTTTCTAACAATTCATTTATATGTATTGTAATTCTTGTAGATCATCAAAGTTATATTTTAATGGTTTTTGTGTTATTATACTATTTTCATCTATTAATTAAATTTTTACTTTTGTCTTATGTTTTTCCCATCCTTGTAATGGATCTTCACTATATAATTGTTCTATTTGTTCATTAATTAATTTGACTTTGTCTATAACAAATATAATAATTTCTAATTGCATTATTTGTTTATTATTTATATTTTCCATTTCTTGGTTTATCTTTTCACTTCCTTTTATCCATTCCATAGTTTTTCGTTGTTTATTATTTACTCTTTTTGCTCCTATCTTATTTCCGCATGGTGTAGTAAGCCACCAATGTGTTTTTGTTATTATGTGTGGATAATATTTATCTAAAAATGGCATTCCTAATAACATATCTTTTGTAGTAAATTCAAAATTATACATTTCTTCTATTGTTAGTATTTTATCCCATATTTGTATTTTTATACTTTTTGCTTTGTATTTAATCATACTTCCTTCATTGTTAAATCCCGTTACTACCATAGGTGTTTTTAATTTTTCCCATTTATCTTCTGGTAGGCAATTATATTTACATATATTCGCTTCTGCTCCTGTATCTATCATAGGTGTATAATATCTGTTGTAATATCCTTCTACTAATTTTTGCAAGTATAAATATTTTCATTAATCATTTTGTCCTTTTTATAATTATTTTCTTATTTTGACAAGTTATTGTTAATTGTTCATTTTCTATGTTGTATGGTTTAACTTTTTCTAACCATTTTATTCCTAATGTAATATTATGATCTCCTTGGTATATTTTGAATTGTATTATTAAGAGTATTCCTCCTATAATTATTTCTTTTTCTGTTGTTTCTTCATTCGTGTTTACTATCTCACTAGGTAGTCCAGGGCATGTATATCCTGTTCTTATAATTTCTTCTTCTAATACTAATTCTCTTGTTATATAATTTTCTTCTTGTCCTGTATTTATTAATATTTTATATTTTCTTTGGTCTATTATTCCTGTTATGAAATAATGATATGGTGTTATTTCATCTTTATCTAATAGGCTTTGTGGAATTTCATATTTTCTTTTAGATGTACTCATCCTTGATGAGGTGGCTCTTGTCAATGTATTTGGTACGCTTGAAGTGCTTAATCTTTCTTTTACTATCTCTAAATCTTCTTCTATATCAATTTCTTTATAGCTATAGTCATTATTGTCTATTACAGTAATTATTTTTTCAAAAGGATTTTCTATTTTTATTTTGTTAATTTTATTTTTTGCTGTTATTTTATGCTTTGTTGTTAGTATATATAAATTTTTACATCTTGCTGTAAATAATTTGCTTCCTGGTGCTAGTTCTATTCCAGACATTTTCCAATATAGAACTAATGATCTATCTATGTTTTTATCTGTTAATGATACTGTATAATTAGCACTTATTATAAATTTAAATTTGTGATATATCAAGTTTTCTTTTACTGCACTAATTACGCTTTTTTCTATAGGGTGTACAATTCTATCATCTGCTAAATATATTTCTATAGGTGTATCTATTCCTTCTCTAAAGCAGGCTTTTATTAATATTTTTGTTCCTCCTAAATGTACATATTTTATTGGTGATTTAGCTTTTATATCTTGTATTTCTTTGTTTATCATTCTTTTATTTATTATAGGTATATATGCTTTTCCTCTTGTGTATTTGCAATCTATGATATGTTCTTTTTGGCTAACTACATAGTATTCTTCTTTTTGTCTTTTAAACAAATTTCTTAAAATAGGTATTTCTAATACTTTTTCAACACTTAAATCTAATTCTTTTCCTTTTATTTGTTCAAATATCGTATTATCAAATATAATTTTCTGTTCTGATGATTCTTCATTTTGATATTCTTCCTTAGATATTATTTTTATTTCATTTTCAGACATTATATTTCTTCATCTGTTTCATTATTATCTATGTTAATATTTTCTTCTTCATTCTCAGTTTCTATATCTGATACTTCATATATACTATCATTTTCACTTAATTCATAATCTATGTACTCTATTTGCATATATTTTTCATTATCTATAATTAATTCTGCTATCTGTTTTCTTTTTGGATTTTTGGGTAATTTACAATCTTTAGCTATGTGTCCTATCTTTCCACAATTATAACAAGTACATTGGGATATCTTTCTTTTCGGTCTGTATGGTCTTTTTATTTTATAGTTTTTTACATAATACCTTCGTCTTGGTTGTTTATATTTGTATATAGATTTCTTTTTTCTATAATTTTTATATCTTTTAGATTTTTGTTTTTTAGTTGTGCATCCAAATTGTGGTGCTATTTTATTTTTGCAACATGATAAATTTTTATTTAGTACTTTTTCCATTTTTAATTTTTCTTTTTGGTTTTCACATAGTTGTATGAACCATTGATTTAAAAATTTTATTCTAGATCCTAAAGTATCTATCATTCCTTCATTATACCAATCCTTTATTACGTTTGTACTAAATGGTTCTGGTAATTTTGTATAATATTGTTTTCTTATTTCTTTTGCTTCGTCTAAATTGTATTTAGCTTTGTAATAATATTCTTTAAATGCGCAAGTATATTCTTCTAAGTAACACATTTTACATATAGCTAATTTTGTCATAAGTTTTCTATTTATTATTTTTTCTCTATTTTGTTCTCTTATATCTATAGTCATGCCTCCAAATTCATTTCTTATTGCTGATTCATATTTATCTAGTATATCTATATTTGTTGCTGATGCAGATCCATCCATTTTCTTATCATTCCTAAGTACTTCTAAACTTTCCGAGGGTAGATTTTCTATCCATAATTTTGTTGTTCCTACAAATGTTCTTTCTATGTATCTTGGTGTTTTTGCTGTTTCTATTTTATTGTCTATTAACTGTTTAGACATATTTCCTATCCATATTAATATTGCTTTATTTATATCTGCGACACAATCTAAATCTAAAAAATTGTATTGTTCATTTGCTGGTTTAGGTGTCCAATTTTTATTTAATCTATTGTTCCATATTGCATTATTTCTATCTGATTGTTGATAGTTCTCTGTATAATAAGTTGGTGGTGTTCTCCTAGGACTATTTCTGGGACTATTATCTGGGGTTTTAACTCTTGACGTACTAGGTCTATTCATATCTCCTGTGTTTATCTCTAATTTTTTCGATTTATTTTTCTGTTCTAGAATTTCTGTATATGTTTCACTTATATCACTTATTTCTGATTGTTGGTCATTTTCATTTCCATCTATTTCATTCACTTCAATATCTTTATTTAGATCTTCATTTAGTTTTTGTTCCATTTGTTTTATTTCATTTGTTAATTCTAGCTCTTTATCTTTTTCTTTTTGTTTATTTTCATATAATAATTTTAACCTAGCTAATTCTTTTTCTAATTCACTTATTCTTGTATTTTTTATTTCTTCTAAATTTTGTACTTCTTGTTTTGCTTGTGTTTTTATTTTTTCGATTTCTCTTGATTTATCTATTTCTTCATTTTCTTTTGTTATTCTTACCATAGCTGTTAAACTATCTTCTAATTTTGCTGTTTTTTTTCTAGCATTAAATATAAGTTATTTCCTATTTTCTTGTATCTTCTTCCTAAATTTGAAAATACTATTTTTATTATCATTCCGTCTTGGTTTTCATATGTTTTTTCGTCTACTGCAAATTCTTCTTTGTTCATTATGATCTATGTATTATATTATGTTGTAATTCATATTCAAGACAATCTAATTCTAATTCTAACGTTAATATATCTTTTCTTTGTGCTAGTATTGATTTATTACATACTCCTGCTAATATGTTTTCTTCTAGTCTTCTTTTTCTATGTTGTAATTCTTGTTCTTTTTCAACCATTATTTCCACTATTTCTTCTATTAATTGTTGTTTATAGATTTCTCTGTTCATACTGTTTTTTCAAATAACAGACATATTTATATTCTATTTTTAAAATTGTGTTTATCAATTGATTTTTCCTATCATTATCTGTTTTGACTAGTTGTGATAGTTCATATTCTATATATAAAGATCTTAATTTTTTCCATATTTTTCTTATCTTTTTATCTATCTTAGTTCTTTTTATTTTAGTATTTTTATTTTTATTTATCATAGCTTTTTATATAATATTTTAAAAAGCCTACTTAATTTATCTGGATATCTAATCTTTTTTAACCTGTAATTCCTACCATATCGCTTTAGCCAATATTCAGTCATATTTAATCTCCAATATCTAAATCATCATATAAATCATACATATCATAATAAAGCTCATTTTGTATACTTTGTATGGTTAACTCAGTCCAACCTTGGGTTGTTATTTCTATTATCTCATATGTTAATAATTTATTATAAATTTCTCCTTTTATATCAATATTCAAATTTTTTAGTATATAGAATAATAATATCTTATAATCAACATCATCGTTTAATAGGTAGGTTTCCATTTTTATTATTTTTATTTTTCACTAAAATTTTATTCCTTTCAACCTCTTAAAAAATTATACTTGCTTATTATGCAAAAATAATGATTTAATAATCATCTAGTCTGGTCACTACTACAGCTTTCTTCTTTGATTAGTTACCCTAACAGCGCCTCAACTTTGTTTACTCCCCTAAACGGCCTTCTCTGCCTACCGGTTTCAACCTTAGGATGGCATAGTCTGGGCATACATGTCCGAAGAATATTTCTGTAGCAAACTTTCTAAAGATGGTTATTATAACATTATTCAAACATGATAAACAATTATAATTAACAAGAGATTTTCAGGAATAAATTAATATAGCTACTCATAAATAAAAAATGGTATACCTGTTCTTGTAGATCATCTGTCATAGTTGATTTGTTTTCCATAGTTATTTAATTAACTAGCTCTGATACCAATGGAGGGGATGGAAGCGTAAAGAGAGTATTCAGAAAGATGAGAGATGTAAGGATGAAGGTGTGTTTTATTTATGAGGAAAGCTCCTCTATTTATACACAAAATTTACAAACTTTTGGCCAAAAGTGGCCGACACATACTTTACACGTTATCAAGAGTAGCATTTTATCATTCTAAGCCTAATTAACACGGAAACATCATATCATCCAATCCAAGCTATTATAGAAGGGCTACAACTATACCAACCTAGAAACCATGCACCCATCCTATCAAGATGCAAGCTATCCATAGGGTAGTGTGAATTCTCAACCCTAAGATACCATGAGTAATCTAGATCAATCTATTCCACTAAATGCACCTTGCATACAAGCCAATCTACCTTTAGAAGAGTATAAGTCATCTATCCTAAAGCTACCATGTAATGGATTTCTTCTAACGAAGTCCAGCTATTAGAGCTGTCAATATGTGCTAGCCCACCCCATTGGGGCTAACCCATCCAGGCTTTGACATTTTACGGGTCAGGATGGGCTAGCCCATTTTTGGTGTGGGCCAGAAAATGATCGGCCTAGCCCACAAGTACATGGGCTACAGGCTTGCTGGGCCAGCCCACTTTTTACAAATTTATATTTTTTTATCATTATTAAATTAAATTATAAATTACAATTTAAAAATATTATCATAAATATATACAAAACAAAATTACATTATGTTAGGCCTCATTTGTTTGCACTTAATGGGGTTTGAATCTTAATCATTCAGATTTGCCTCATTAAATGTATTTGTTTTTAACAACTGGATCTTAATTATTTAGATTTAGTTCATTAAGTTCGTTTGTTTTATTTTCTTATAAGCCTCTTAATGGGTCTAGATGTATCCCTTAACACTATTAAGACTAAAAAATAAGAGTCCTATCTTAATTCAACTAGATCACAACAACTCATACAAGTTGTTTTCTTATTTAATTACATGCTTGCCATTATAATTTCCTTTATTCATATTAACGTACTATACATCTTTTAATTTCATAAATTAATTAATATATTTGAATTGATAAGTATTCCATGATATAAAATTTAGCAGGGTTTCAAAAACTAAGAAAATATTAGTTATTTGATCGTTAAAAATAATAAATTTCAATGATAAAATAAAATAAAATATTTTTCTAAACTATATATTTACAAGTCTATATAAAATATTTTAAATAGCATTATATTAGATTCTCATAGTATTTTGAGTGCAAAAAATAGTCATATAATGATGTAACTTGATGTTGAGTGCTTAAAAATTAAATCATATTACCTTGTTACGGTAAAAAATTATCAAAATATTATTTTATATGAAAAAAACTAGTTTACTAACAAGGTTTTGATAATATTCTTTTGATATAACGTTTAATTTCATATGTGCATTCATATATTGAAAACAAACTGTCCCAATAATTTAGTGTTCAGATTCTGAGACAATATTTTAATATTAAGATGTTTATTCAGATTTACACATCTTAATATTTAAATACATATTCAAATTCAGACGTCTTAATCTTAATGAAAACAAATGAGACCTTAATATCACTACTTGTTAATCAAATTCACAAATCAAATTATCTTTATAATATTTTGGTAAAATGCAGAAGTACCTCCAATACTGTGACCGAAATCCCAAAGACACACTTACTAAGGTCTTATTACCTCCCTGAACTTTTTTTTTGTAATTTTGTGTACCTCTTTGACATACAAGGCATCCAAATATCTCTGACGCGCCTCAATTGCGTGGAGTCACATACAGTGTCACATAAGAGAAAAGTCGTACAAAATTACAAAGAAAAAAAGTTCAGGGGCTAATGGGACCTTAGTTTAGTTAAGGTGTGTCTCTGAATTTTTGTTATAGTCTAGGGGGTACTTGTGCATTTTCCTTGGTACTTATTAATTTCTTATTCAACTAAAAGTATAAATATCTAAATAGAAATATTAACCTAATTGTTTTGATTTTGGACTCTCTTATTTTTAAATTATAATATTATATTATATTTTTTAATTAATTTATTGGCCCATAGGCCGGCCCTATCGATATTCTAAACCCCCCAAATAAGCAGGCTTATTCAGGCCGGGCTAAAAAGCCCTTTTCCTAAATGGGCTACAAAAATGTAAGCCCAGCCTTATTAAATTCCGGGTTAGGCCATGCCGGCCAAATGGGCCTAGCCCATATTGACAGCTCTACCAGCTATCATGAAGACATTCTAATCATGCTATTTCAAGCTATCCCTAGGAGGATATCGATCCTCCTTCCTAGTCTACCTTTCCTATACTAATGCAAGCTACCATGAAAAAGAATTCTACCGATGCAATATCAAGCTAATCATGGGAGAGCTTAACTCCTCCATTCCAAGCTATCAAGAGATCTACCATCTCAAGCTACCATGAGATGTTCCATTCCAAGCTACCATGACATTGATACGCTCAAACTTACTTCTCAAATAAGCAGTAAACCGTTAGTTTCAAGTAAATAATTCAACTACTGAGGTTAGGATTGTTCCCACGAGGAAAATAGTTTAGACTAAACTTGAATCTATTATTACTATGGTTCAGTCAATTACTTCCTTGAAAAGCAAAAATAATAAAAAGGGGGTTTCTATTTCTAAATGAATGAAATTAAATAACAAAATTTAAAGAGACACTTCATACCTTCGAATGTTGGAGTTTAATCAATTAATCAAAGTAACTAGGGTTTACATGTTCCCCACAGGTTCATAACTTGATAATTCTAACTATAACAATTATTTCCTAGTATCTTGCATGCAAAGTGATAAGTTATGTATTTCTAAATCCTTGGTCCGGCATCTAGAAAATTTCACTCCGCACCTTGGTCCGGCTACGTGTGTTGCTATTCTAACCCTTATCTTTACTTCATACTAAGCGTCGTATTCGATATTTGACTAAGTTATTACCTCGTACCAATCAATACTAGCCTATTAGATAGTATACACTAAATCTATGATGATAATTCTTTTCCTATTATCTACCTCCTTGGTCCGACAAGTAGCACTAAGGCGAGTCCTAACGTTGGCCATCCGTTGTAAAGACGTCTAAGCGAAAGAATTATTAATACATTCAAGATACTGTACTAGAATTCTTATTTTAGTTAGTTTTTACCTCATTATTTGCCTATGGTTCCCACAACCCTAGTTATGGAGTTTACTTACCCATAGTCATAATAACAATATTCAAATATATTATATAAGAATTCATGTACTTACTTCAATGAGAAAGAGAAAAATCCGATAGTTTTCGTGATTAATCAACAAAAATCACAAACAATCACTTGCAAGAATCTCAAAGTATACAAGAATCTCACAAAAAGTCTAATGATAATTAAAAGCCTAACCAAATAATCAAGAGTCTAACTAATAATACAGTGTCTAACAATACGGTGTCTAGCTAATAATACTGATTCTAACTAATAATACAGAGTCTAACCTCAAAATGAGGTTTTTAGAACTATTTATAGAAAATAAAAACATGATTAAACAAGGACTCTATTTGCTGGAAATCTGTCAAAACTCAGTTGGATCGACGAACCTCGCGACGAATCGTCGTGGTCATGACGGACCATCATCGACTTCGTCATCCCATACTCATTCAGTTTCTTCTGCTGCTCTCTTCATTACCTCGATGACAAGTATGACGGACCTTCACAGGCACAATGGTCCGTCGAGGGTCTTCATTTCAAAACACTTAACTCTTGGAATATGGGTACTGGGACTACTCCTCTGAACTTCATGACGAACCTACAAGATAGACCGTCATAAACACGACGGACCGTCATAGACTCCGTAACCCCACACTTGTTCAGACTTTCCCATCTTCCTTCAGCAGATGCACTACGTTGCCACCTACAGACCATCACAAGCATGACGTACCTTCATAATCTCCGTAGGTGGTCTCTTCTGCAGTTTTTCGCTCAAAATCTCCGCATTCATCTTTGGACAGATTTTCTGCAAATAAAGAGAAACTTATATAAAAATTAGCACAAAAGGCTTTTGGACACGCTAAACTTTAAGGAAAAAGTATTAATAATACCGTGAAACCACGATATATCATATATCTACCATCCCAAGCTACATAATTCAAGTATCCATTAAGGAGTCGTAAATTTCAACCTCAAGCTATTCTATTCTAACAAGAATGATTCATTTTAGGTGATTAACCTTCTACATTATACATACATAAAAGAAAACTCATCATATTATACTTATTATATAAGCCCTAGTGATCAACATGATGAATTCAAGCCCTAAATTCAAGCTCTACGCCACAATCATCATACTAGTCTAGATCACCATAAAAAGTAGTTAGAAGCATTTGGCATAGCTAATCCTAAGCCTGTTTCATGAAAGGTTCCAATGCTAATAATATCAATTAATATTCTATCATACATACATAAGTGAAGGTAGTTCATGATTTCATATTACTAATCTTGATTAAGTCCCATGCATCACAACAATCTAAGAGGATTTATCCAGAATCATCAATTCATCATCAAATGGGATAAACCCACATACTTTGAAAATAAGGGTAAATAAAGGAATTCACGTAAATTCTTCATAATATCATGATTCAACACTAATGTAATCATATATGAGTAGTATCCCACCTTTTGGAATAATATCCACCTAAAACCCATACATTGGAAGTAAACCTACCTTCATTGGGGTTCTTTTTTCCAAATTAGGGGAAATTCTTGGGTACTTTATGGGTGTAAGAACACATAGATGAATATCTTCACATACCTCAAATCAAAGCCCCACTAATCTCGCTTCAATGGAAGATTTCGATCTAGCCTCCTTCTCTTATTTTCTTTATTCTTCTTTTTAGGCTTTCTAAAGTAAGAATTATTTGGGAGAGGAGGATGAACTAGGTTTCCTTTTTATTCTTGGGGAGAGATTAAAAATTAAGTAGAATTAGGTCTAATAAGATTATATAGTTGCTAGGCAAGCACTAGAATAACGTGAGGGCACTTTGGTAAATAAGGGCCCTAAACGTTTTCAACTTAAAAATCTGCTTCCTTCACATTTTAATCCTCCATTTGGAACACTTGGGGTCACCAAGTCATTAGGTTGTTCGCCTTTTTGACCTTTAGTTTTCCCTTTGTGCCAGCAACTCACAAAAGGGACTGGCCATTGGGCAATTGGAGGGAAAAAAGGGTGATTCGCCAAGCTGGTTTGCGAGCTTCCACCTAGTTCTCCCTTTGGTACAGCATCATGGAAAAATTGGGAAATAACTAGGTCATATAAAGATCACATGGTCAACTCGCTCAACCCATTGGGTGATCAAGTGCTCCCGTTGCCAAACACCGCCTCAAAGAACAAGGTTTCTTACATTCAAACTTTCTAGCTAAGGCCCTTGCAACATTATTCCATCCCATAGATTGTCTCCTTAACTAACGGGTCTAAAAAATGTCTTTAGGTTCAAATAATAATTCCCTTATTCGAAGTACGGAAAGTCTAATATACTATTCTAATCTTCAACATCACACTCTAGAAACCTAGTTTTAGTGCTCTAGTTTTGTGTACAACTTTTGGGGTGTTTCACAAGGCCT